TTTCCTTTCCTTTCCTTTCCTTTCCTTTCCTTTCCTTTCCTTTCCTTTCCTTTCCTTCCTTCCTTCCTTCCTTCCTTCCTTCCTTCCTTCCTATACTTACCATAAGGTGATCAAGAATCTCTTTCTCCAGTTCACTTCCACGTGGTTGGATATTTACCAGGCTTGGTTGAAGACAAGTTCTCTTAAGCCCCTGGGGGAGAGGGTTGCATTCAGGCTACAGACTCCTCAACTGGCATCTGAGGTCCTCCTTGTGGTGGCCATAGCCACATTTCCCAAAAGGAGGCCACCTTCTGTGTAATAAAACCCTAATGTCATCTAGTTGAGTTTTGCTTCACCTCGATAAATCTCTGCAGAGTACGATCAATTTCCCTGTAGGTAGATCAGTGTTTCTCAACCACGGCAGCTTGAAGATGGCTGGACTTTCAAGCAAGGCTGGCTGAGGAATTCTGGGAGTTGAAGTCCACCCATTTTTAAGCCGCCAAGATGGAGAAGTATTGATGTAGACCCAAAACAAAAGCTTTCTGCAAAATCTCGAAACAAATCTCTCCTGCCCCCCATGGCCCAAAACATCAACCCTAGGGGCCCCAACCATCCCCTCAGTGATGGAAGCACATCACCGCCACACCCCTAGCAACTCTTGGAGACTGAAAATAATAAAGCACGCCCTAGCTGGAATTGATCATCCATCTTTCTAATCAAATTTGGTGACTCAGATTCTTGCTTGGCTCTGTAGGACAAAGAGTCCTCTGAAATTTCTCGTCGCGGAGCCAACATCCACCCCACCCCTTCAAGGCATTCGCCGCATCCTGACAGGTTCACTCAGGTGATAAAAGTTGGGCCTTCAATGCTGAGGGAAACAGTGAAGTCTCTTGAGTTCAGGGGTTTGGCAGATCTAACCAGCTTACGGTATATTCCAGTCAGGAGGGAAATGATAGCTCCAGATTTTATTGAAATGTATCAATTTTGCTGCTAATGGGGAAAGGAGGAGTTGCAATAAATGCATTTTCCTCTAGGTCATTTTCAAATTTGGGCACTTTTAAGATGGGTGGACTTCAACTCCCAGAATTCTCCAGCCAGCATGCTGGCTGGGGAATTCTGGGAATTGAAGTCCACCATTTTAAAATGCCTAAGTTTGAAAAGCATTCATCCAAGTTATGGCCTGTATGAACAAAAGAAATGGCAACAAGACTCGGGATATTCCAATTGAATTAACAGGCACATTTATTGAAACTGTGGTTGTGTGAAAGTCTCGTTTCCATGATTCTTAGCAAAACATCTGAAGAAAAACAAGAATGTAAAAAAAAAAAAGATGATGATTGTAGTAGAACAAAACACCTTCCTTTCTTTGGGGATATTGCAAACTTTCCCCCCACCCTCAATTTTTCTTCAAAGCTGTCACACTGGACCAGGCCTCATCTATTAACCCAGCTCCCCTCATTCACTTGTTTGGCTAGCCAAATTTTCCCCCCCTCCCCTTTCCACCCCTGTGTCCTTGGAAACTGTCTCCAAGGTTACGGTGTTTCCGCAGATTTCATTACGTTCTGCTTTTTGCCTTGCTTCAAAACCAGGTTTGCAGCTGGCAGAAGAGTGGCTTGGTTTCTTCGTTTGTTTCCTAAACCCAGCATCTACTGTTACACTTTTAATAAAATCATTTCGCTTAAACACGCACCCCTTTTGGGGTGAAGGAAACAAAAGTTCCCACTGATCTACGGTGAGTGTTTGCTTCCCCCCCCACACACACACCAGTTATATGTGTTTCCTGCCCTGTCTATAGCCAGTTTACGATCTGTGTTTAAACTACGTCAGTCCTTTCCATCCATCCATCCATTTTTCCTCACCGCTGTTCCCCGTTTTCCTTGACTCGATCCAAACCCCAAGCGAATTTCTTAAGTCCGTACCTTGAAAAATATGAGTCAGGTGTGATCGTTGTATCCTAATTTTGGGTGGTGGCGGGGGGGGAACAAGCCAGTTTTACGCCTCAGATACATTCCTGTGTTTAAGGACAGGTGTCCTATTGGATCGGTAGGCTTCCTTTGTCCAGACTTTGAAAGCTATAAAAGGGGTACCGACCGAAACCCCGGTGGCCTGCAGTCTACACAAGAAGGCCGGCTGCTTGGGAACTAACACATTTCCCATGCATTGTGCACCTTTGCTGGCCTTCCAGATGGACCATGGGCTTTTCCCTAGTGGATTTCCTTCCATTTCTACTGTAGGAAAGCATCCTTACTCACCCTGCAAGGAAAAACAGCTAAGGTGTGTTTGGTTTTTTTTTGCATTTAAATCCATGCCATTCAGAGCAATATGAGAAGCCGTATTCATGGACTCCTTGTTCATCTTAAACTCGGCTTACATTGGGTTGATCCCCCTATTTTCTCACCTGTTTGGGGATTTGGGTAAATACTGAGCCAGAAGAGAGAAATAAATGCTTCCTTAGTCAGCCTTGTAGCAAATACAGAACAGCAAAAAAAAAGAGAGAGAGCTAAGAAAAGTCAAACTCCATGTATATCCAGTTCTAATTCGCTGCATGCAAATAAGCATCGCTATGGAATTCATGGATGATGTCTCTTCCCCACCTTCCCTAAAGAAAATTGAAATAAAGCTGTTTGATCTGTAGAGATCACAGTTCCCTGCTCTGTTATTTGATTTTCTTTTTTGGTGACACTTTTTTTTTAAAAAAAAAAAACTTGCTTGAAAAGAACCACTGCATCTCTCAACTCTTTTTAACGTGTCTGTTCCTTCAGTGGCCATCTCGGATAGCCTCCAAAATGGCGTTTGTGGCTGGCATGGTTGTGATGTGATGTCTCGTTTGACTTTGCAGTGGTGACGGTGTTGATACTTTTAAGAACCTGAGAATGATTGTTTTATTTATAACTATTTATATATACGTACACAGGCACATATAAATAAAATAGACACCCGCAGGGGGACATACATTCTCCTTCATAATCTATATGCTGTATTGATTCCTGTTAAATTTTCTGATTCTTAATAAAGTGCCGTTTCCTCTCTCTCTCTCTCTCTCTCTCTCTCTGTGTCTTCACCTTCGTCTCCTTCACGGTTGGTGAGCTGCTGGAAGAGAAGTCGATGGTGGCACTTAGCCAAACATAACCTGCTTGGATGGCAGCAATCTGCATCTTGAATACCAGGTGGTAGAATCAAAGAACAAAAAGTGTGTTCCTTTTAACGCTCTCAAAAGCAGATGCACTAGGTCTCCAATTTGGGTTTTTGAGGCCTGCGACCAAGTCAGTTTGATGGAGTGGTGAAGGTTGAGGTTAAAAACCAGGAGAAGTTGAGTTTTCGTCTTGCCTTGCGTCAGTGTGTTCTGACCTAGGCTTCCCAAGATCATGAAGTAGACTTCTCGTCCCTTTTATTTAGGTTAAAGGTCAAAATCCTGGCAAATAGTCTTTCATGAGATTTCACAACTACAGACCTTTTATCAGGCTTGGAGAGTTGCCAGGCCGATATCTTCCAAACGCCACGCTGTAGCAGCAATTACTTTGCAAGAAGTCAGGAACAGGTCTTCACCCTAATGAATTGAATTAATTGTCTTCTGCAAACACCACTCCCCTTTCACTCCTCTATTCCCTATGGGAGGGGCCATTTACCATCCACCTTTACTTCCAAGTTGACCCTTATTCCTTAACTAATCCGTTCCCCTGGCTGTTCTGTGCATGTGCATATTGGGAACAGGCTCCAGCTGTTCTGCCCCACATCACCGACTGATAACTGCTAATAACTGTTGGATGGCCCTGGCCCCATCTCTGCCTCCAATGCAGAGCACTCGTCAGAGCCTCAGAGCCTTCCCCAGAGTCCAGGACTGGCCCATGTTCCGCCCCAACCTCCTCACTGTCCAAGTCTGCCGCCAACTCTGCTGGCCGCTGGCGGTCAACAGCGTTCCAAGTAACACACCCATCAAAAGCAAAACTCTGAGGCTAGTAGAATCCCCCAAAGGACATGTTTATTGGAGTGGATGCATCAAATCGGCACAGCTAGTGAAAAACCAACTCTAAAGTTTCTCGCAATTTTAGCCAAGTTAAAAAGTGCAAATGTTTCCCTCCCTGGATGTCATTGTTCATATTGTCCAATGAAGTAGTTTGGCAGTTCCTTGGGTCAGACCCTGCTTCCCCCAACTGCCACCAGTTGGGATGACCTTGGTTCTCATAAGAAAGTTTTTTGTTTTGTCTATTGGTGAGCTATCTACCCCCTCCCTCCCTAAAGTTCGTGGCAACTATAAGGTTGCAGAAAATGGCTTCAGCCAGGTTTGCTTCAGAGTTGGCAACTTGTGCATGAAGCTAACCTTCGACCAGGCAAGTTTGATTTAGACTTGCATCGACACACCTACATGCAAAGGGGTTGATGGGTAAGCATAGATCAAGGCCTGTCCAAGCTTGGCAACTTTAAGACTGGTGGATGTTAACTCCCAGAGTTGCTCGGCCAGCCATGCTGGGAGTTGAAATCTACAACTCTTCAAAGCTGTGTTGCCAATCAGCCAAAATATAGTCACGGAAATGCAGTAGAGTGGGGTAACCATCAGAATTTTGGATGCAGGTCATAGATCACCTTTTTTTAAGGTAGATCATAAGTTTGAATGGTCACTAAGTGACCAGTCATAAATCGAGAACTACCTCTACTTTCCCTTTTTTCTCTCTCTCCCTTCTGAAGCTGCAGCCAGATTATATGGAACCTCTTTCTCCCAAGGTCCATTGTATGGTGATCAACAATTGATTTGCACTTGTGCATTTATACCATAAAAATTCGTAACTCAAGAGTTGCCATCCTGCCATTGGACTGAACATCTCTGCTCATGTCCCAAATTTCCTACAATGCCACAACATTTTTGTCCCTCTTCCCTACAACTCTCTTGTGGCAGCAAGAGAGTTTGAAATGATCAGTTTCAATGCTGGATCCTGTACAGCAGTGTTTCT